GAGAGAGAGAGAGAGAGAGAGAGAGAGAGAGAGAGAGAGAGAGAGAGAGAGAGAGAGAGAGAGTGGACGTGTCGAGACAGTGTCTTTTCTCCCCTCATCTATGCAATTTTGACAATTGGCGCCAACCATCTTTTTGCTTGCGGCTATCTCTGACTTTTTTTTCTTGTTGGTGAATGATGAATGAGTTAATTTTTCATCCGTGTCTTTGTTTCTCAGTGACTTGTCGGATTGGGCACGATGATCGGTTGAGTATGACTTTTGTGCACTCTAGGCTATGATGATGTGAATGAAAGATTCGTTTGGCTAAAGTGGCGTGATATATGTGTACTTGCCGACTTCTGGCCTCCATTTTCCCCCTTCTTCAGGAAATCGTATGATCAGTCGTGTTCCCGCCCGAGAAAGTTCGACCCTTAGGGCCGCCGCTTACCCACGCGGCTGCAGATATACACCCGATCTGTTCTCCCTCATTCCTCCTCCTTATTGAGAATTTGAGCGTATCGGTCTCTCGGGCGCTTGCGTAAGATCTTTGCAAGCTCTTTGGCTTAATGGGAATGCATGTCGTTCTCCTTATAAATGGATGGATTTAATGCATGAGTACATGTTGATTTCTTATTCCCATTTTCTTTCGAGGTCGTATAGACAAGTCTGATGGGAAAGGTTGCCGTCTCGGTGGGTGTATGTCTCTACCGAGGAGCGAGCATTTGATTCAATGCGTAATCGTTCCCTGACTTAGATGACTATCCCGTCAGAAAATAGCCATCTGATCCAGGTCCATCCGACTGAGAGCACGATCTTGTGCACGCACGTGTAAGCGCGACCGAGAAGGACATTGGTCACACGCGTGTCTGCAAGACCTGTTTCTGGACCCCATGACGAAATTTACGACGGCATGGATAACGAAATTCCGTTCCATATCACGAATCGAGAAAGTTTGAGGCACGGCGATTCTGGGAGCACTACTAGGAGTGGGAAAACGCCTATCTTCTCGCACGACCCAGACCCAATCCTCTGAAATTTTGCTATCAGACAGGAGACGAACGGGTCTGTGAATGGCACATCAAACGGGCCTTAAGCGCAATCCCCTTTCCCTCCCAATTCCCCAGCTCACACGTAACCCACGTCATCGCCTAGCCTGGTATTCTCGTCCTTGAAACGGACTTCCCTCCCTACCGCCTCGTACTATTGCCTTTTCATTGCCTGACTGCTGCCCCTTGGCATGCGATCGCCCCCTACTGGCCCCGAACCTCGTGCTCCAAGTGCCAGCAAGATAGCGTGTACCGAGCCGTGGGATTCGTTCGACGAACCCGGACCGAGGCCGAGCAGCGAGCACACAGCCTCCATCTGAGGCCGGCCTCGTCGGATTCCGAGGTTTTCCACGAGCGACCCCAGCAGTTGTTCGGGCAAAGCGACCCCCACAGTGTTCCACCGGTTCATCAAATATGAACGGCCCCGCCGCGGAAACCAGCGGGGATGGTAACTTCCCTTTCGAAAGCATAAGAGCCATACGCGACCCGCACCTACCATCTTGCACAACTATCCCTGAAATTTGTCACCGGAGATCCCAGGTCCGACCTGGGACTCCACCCCCACTTTCCTAAAATCCTTGGCACTGTGACGCCCAAACCTCACGCCCGGCGCGACTTCCTGATCGGAGTGGGATGTGGGTCTGGAAGTGCGAAAAGGGGTGTGCCAAGGATTTTTGGGGAAAGTGGGGATGGAGTCCCAGGTCGGAACTGAGATCTCCTATGGCAAAGTTCCAGGGGCATAGATGCAATATGGGTAAGGGGGACAAGTTATTTCCGGTCTGATGGTAGTCGGGTCATGCAGCATAGGGCATATGGCATGCGTGGTGCATTTAGGGTCGTCCGATCCGTCGGTTTTGATGACGACGTTTCGGGGAGGGGTCTGCCCAGGATGGTTGTGATTCCGATAGGTTGGGCCTTCGGGTGCAGACACGTGGCGTCTGTCGTCGCGCGTTTGGGTTAGGCCCTCTAGCTTCAACGGTTCGTCGGTTGCCGCGTCGCCGACAATTTTCGCAAGGCGTGCGGGGCCATTAATTTTCGCAAGGCGTGCGGGACCTCATGCGAGGGGTAGGGGGGAAGGTGTGGCCCGACGTGGTATGCATACAAGAGACTCACTTGATGGACCAACCAGAGCATCACAGGGCAAGAAAGCAGGTATGGTCGTTCCAGAGCTACCACGCCTATACCCCTACCCCGGGGAGAGCGGGTGTCGCAATATGGGTCCCCCCGGAGTCACACTTTGAAGTCCTCCACTGGGAGAAAGATGAAGAGGACGGTCGTTGGGTCTCCATATTGGGAATGCTTGAGCTGGAGGTGATCTGCATAGTCTCCCTTTATGCCCCTAACACCGCCCGGGAAAGACGAGATTTTTTGGAAAAAATAAAAAGGGTGCCACCCCCGGCGTTCCGGTGGTGTTGGCTGGGGACTATAACGCAGCTCCTGACCGAGGGCTGGACAGATGGAGAATACAGCCATCCACAGCCCACAATGTGGAAGAGGACGAAAGCATGATAGGGGACTTCTGCTCCTCCCTCCAGCTCTTCGACACGTTCAGACGAAGCCATCCCACCTGTGTTAAGCATAATGACTCGAACAGGCTATCCAAGTCTCGCATTGATCTGATTCTGGCTTCAGAGGATCTGGTAGGCGGATTGACTGCAACTGCCATATTACCTGCGAGCCCATACCCTGGCCTGGACCACAGAATGTGTCTGGCCATCTGGACATTCCGCAAACGCCCAGATCAAGGGGCCAGCTACTACAAACTCAACGCCTCACTACTCAAGATGAAATCCTACCAAGAATACCTGCGACAAGTTTGGGATTTTTGGAAAGAAAAGAGACAATTGCACGACTTACCAATTGCATGGTTCAATAATGGTCTCTTCTTCCTGGCCAGGAAAAGTAATGAATTTTCTAAATATTTGGCGGCCAAGCGACACCAACAGGAAATTCAGATGATTAGAGAGCTATCGGAATACGAGCAGCAAGAAAGTTCGGATGAGCACGAGCAATCAGGCCTAAGGACTTATAATCAAATACAAGAGCTAAAAGGAAAACTTCTAGACATTGCAAAATATCGCTCGCAGGGAGCCAAACTGAGAGCAAGACAGACAACTTCTTCAACAGAAGGCACTATGGATGCACATTTTTTCGGATTGGCCCGACCGAGGGGCAAACATACCACAATAGAGGTACTCTATCAGACAGAGGCAAGGGAGATGGAACCGGTCACGACCACGGCTGGATGCACTAAAATCGCTCGTGATTTTTACAAGGACCTCTTCTCCTCACACATACACAATCCGGACAAAACAACCCATAACAGCCTGATAGACGACTTTCTAAG